TCATTACAAATTAATCAAATATAGGTATTATTTTCTTTTAAAATGTTCAATATATAAAAATGCAACCTTACACTTATTTGTGTTTTTTTTTCATTACAAAATTTATAAATATATTTTACGACAATGATATCACATAACATAAAAAAAATCGTCCTTCTACCACAGCGTGGTGGACTGTGGCTGCATTTTAAAGAGGAGAAGCCCGTGCCCAGAAGTGCGACGTTTGAAATTAATGAATTATCAATAATAATTTTGCTATTAAATACATCTTACTTATATAAAAACTAGAACACTATTACATAACATCTGTGACAGACGAACAGATTGATCTATATTCACATCGAAATTCAGGACCCTGAATAAGCAATTTCTTATTCAAGAGAAGAAAGAATTCAAGAGATACATTAGTTTTTAAATTAAATAAGTACGTACTTGGAATAAAAAATAGCATTTTCGTCTTGTCCATTACTTTATAGTCAATAGTCTTCTAAAATTTAACATTCTAACTTTCTTTGACAGCGAAGTGACCCTTTCTAATAAAATTTCTTTTCTTTTCACTAGCCGTAACGACCAATTGTAGCTCTTATTTCAACAGTCTAACTCAAAATATACTTTAACGCCTAGTAAAAAACTCGTGAAATACAGTTCTGATACGAAGATACAAGATTCATTAGAAATTCAATACATGCTCTTATATTTGTCCCACAATTAGGTACATAGCTTATTTGCTTAATACGAGTAGAATTTGCTATACTATTATATGAATACGGTAGTCTGTTTTATTGGTTTTTGTTTGTTCGAACGCGTTAATCTCTAGAACAACTTATTTATGAATTATGGTTACGTGTCTAGTTTGGAATTATTTTTGCAATTTTTACCCTTTTTAACCCCCGATGCAAAAAGAGAGGTGTTATAAGTTTGACGTGTGTGTGTGTGTCTGTGGGATCGTAGCACTCACACGGATGGACCGATTTCGATGCGTTTTTTTCATTTTAGTTTCCTTGCGGTGGTTTTTAGCTATGTTTGGTTAATATCGATCCAGTAGTGTAAGAGTATCAGCTCTTTTCCAAAATGATGTAAGGCATTTTGGCGTATGATTACTGATTAAGTGCTTCACGCATGCCAGTGTAATCGTTAAATGACAATTATTTTTTCGTAGAGGATTTTTAAAATTTTTAATTTATAATCGTAAGGAATGCTATATCTAACATCATGTTACGACTCTATGGACCGAAGCATTTATGGTAAGCCAAGTGGAGCAGCGTTTAGTTTTAATTTAATATATACTAATACATCCGTAATATTTCATGTACAAGAAAACGCTATGTATAAGATATATTACAATTTAATTACCTCGCAAATTCAAAGTCGGTTAGTGGTGTAACCGCATCGCGCCTACGCTACATTATTGAGGTTAAATTAACAGAAGTACGAGATCTATTTATTGCAGTACATATATGTAGTGATTTACGAACATAAGTTAAAATTCGACGACACGTTTGGCTCAGTTTGTAGTGACCCTACTTGCTGTGCCAGCGGTCGCGGGGTCGAATCCCGCAGGGGGCACTCATTTGTGTGATAAACACGAATGTTTGTACTCCAGCCATGGGTGTTTATATTTATAATAAGTATTTAAAGTTATATATTTGTAGTGTATCAACTATATGGTACCCGTAACATAAACCTCGTAGCTTACCATGGAACTAGATGATGATGTGTGTTAATGTCCCAACATATTTATTTATTATTTATTATTATTTAATTAAAAAGTATGTGACACTAATATTAAAAGTGTGAAAGTTTCTAAGTACGAGTGTTGCGCTTCTTCGCTTTCTCTAACGACCTAAAAAATCAATTTGAATTCAGAATCAAATCTAATGAAATTCACTGTATATTTTTTATTTTTGTTTAATTTCCATCATTGATACTTTTCCTTACATTCTTACACAGTAATCTTTAATTCAACGATTTTTGCATTATATAAGTGGCGGTCCTACAGCGGCGAACAAACATATACATAATGCTAGCATTGCCCGCGGCTCCGCCCGCATTCAGATGACCAAAAACCAGACTCTTAGATTTAACATATTAGTATACTCTAACATTGCAGTTTTTGTATTTTTTCTCAGAAATGAGACATTTTCCCGCGGTAAAGAGTATCCTATATGTTGACCCGGATAACCAGCTATCATCATACCAAATTTCATCAAAATCCCTCCAGTAGTTTTTCCGTGATGCGGTAACAAACAGACAGACAGACAAAAAATCTAAAAATTATAGAATCAGCCTCTATATCGATAATAATTATTATTTCAATAAGAGATTCCAAAAAAGCATTTAATGTACGGATTCGACTCAGAATTTTACTATACAAGTATGTATAGATAAACAGCTACAGTGTAAAACGATACCTCTAGTCCTTACTTCAGTCCGTTATCTATCGCTAATGTTTGCCCGCGGCTCTGCTTGCATATGAAGTAGACCGACAAAGTTACGAGTATATTTATAATACGAATTTGGTTGAACTAACTTGATTTTCTTTACTTAATGAGAAAATATCTATACACTTTCACCTGCGGCTTTGCAATTTTACAAATAAAAAATTTAAAAATATTACTCAATTACAAAGAGAATATGTAGGGGGAAATAAATATCTTTATTTTTTTATATAATTCATTGATAAGAGCTTGATGTTTTAAACCATTGATGATTAATTATCTATTTTTATTTTTAACAAACGTTGCAAAACTCTGAGAAAAGATTAACGATATCTGTGAGTCATATTTCCTTTCAACATCTAGGTAAATGTTTTACGCTAAAACTTTTTAAACGTTTTTAAGCGAGTATTTAGCAAGGCAGTGGTAGCCCAGTGATAACGGGTTCGGTTGTAAAATCAAGTGTAGCGAGTTCCAACCCGGGTCAACCACTTCGGACATTTTCGTCTACGAATCATTTTCAACATGATTACTACTTGCTTTACAGTGGAGAAAAACATAGTAAGAAAATCTGTATGTCAGCGAAAATCTAACTAGTTTTGAATTATTAAAGGTATACAGTAAAATTTACAACTCCGCATTTGGCCAGCGGGGTGGATTGCTTGATGAAATTACATAACAGTTTAGTTATTTTTCACATTTTAATGCTTGAAAGTCTGTTTTTTTTTTTGTTTTTTCTCAATTTTTAGTATAGACGTAATAAGCAGGTAATTTGTTAGAAGAATTTTTTTAATAATATATTCTACTAGAGTATGCAGTATTTTAGAAAGAAACAAAGAAAAATTGTACGAAATTCTTAAAAAGTTTTTAAGCAGTTTTCGTTGCTATGTAAGTAATTAATATTCAACAATCGGCGTAAATTAATAAACTTATATATTTTATAAATTGGTTTAAGAGGCACTTTGCAAATTAACATATCCTGCATGTTGGAAAAATTAAAGGTTTAATTAAACTGTAGACAGAAGGAGAGAGAGAGAGAGGTAGTTTAAAACATAGACATAGAAAGTGAACCGTTTCTTTGCCAGCTGTCAGCTAAAGATGGTGGAAAAACGACAGAGACAAAACAAATGTGCGGCCAGAAGTATTATATATTAATTGAAATAAGATTAATCAAGATAGACATTTAAAACAATTTTACATCCCATTGTAATATAATAAATTTCAATAATATTATACTTTTTTTACATTCCATTTTGCTTGAATTGTAATAAATGACAGGTATTGGGCGCTCGTTCTCTTTCTCTGTTTCTAAAGAGTGGCCCATTTCATTACACTATTGCTCAGTCCATTCTCTACATCTATCATACAACAGTATACATACTTAAAAATAGAGACGGTAATTGGATTGACAATTTGCATATCAATTTCCGATGAAGAAAAATAATATGGTTCACCCAAAACTGTAAAGCTCCGTTCGAAAGTGTTTATTGTACTAAGAAAAGCTTTTTACTTTAATGAAACTTCGTATTAAAACACAATGCTTATTTAGTTTTTATTACATCTTCATCTTATAAAATACATTACGATGTTGTAAGAAAAATATATATATAGGTACGATATAAATTAATTATATTATATATATATATATATAGAGAAATTCTAAAAAAGATTTTGTATATAAAAATAGGCAGTGAATAGCTAGTAATGCTAATATATAACAATCTTTACTTTTCTTTAAAAAAATTAAATTCCGGATATTTTTTAAATCGTTATATTTTTTATCCCGTAGTCTAGAATTTAGAAGTTTGTGTGAAAATTCTGTTATTTTATGATGAAGACCACATACATTTTTATAAAGCTAATCGTCAAAAAATCATTTTTCGAAAAGAAAGAATCAAAAATGAAAGATATACGAGGTTGTGTATAAAATAAAATTCTCTTCAAAATTAAGTTATAACAAGTTTGTATGTTTATACTTTTAACGTGCTTGAATATATTTTTTTCCATATACGGAATTCTTTTAAAATTATAAATATAACTAGCGTCTCACGTTTTGTTGATTCCCAATACAAACTTTTATCGCCATTTTCACCTTCTTAAAGGATGATTTCCGGAATAAAAAATATCCTATGTCCTTCCCAGGGTCTCAAACTATCTTCTTACCTTTCATCAAAAATCGTTTCAGTACATCCAGAGATTACCCCCTACAACGTCACAAACTCACAAACTTTACCTCTTTATAGTATTAATATAGATTACGCTTTAAAACGAAAAAGATTAAAATAAGCTGAATTTAATCCTTTTCTTTGTACCTTCAATGGGAATTAACACTAATCAATGTTATCTAGAAGCTGCCGTGTCAATACTGACAAGATAACATCGTATATAAAAAGTAATTATGTTATGTTCAATACGTAGTTTGTCCAATAATACTTCAAAACAAGGTAAAATCCTTTGTCCTAGTTTATATAAACGGACATTTTTTTTGTTTTTAATTATCAACGAATCTTTTTACCATATGTTTTAAATAATAAACTTTGATCATTTTGCTATTGCAGGAAAAAAATGAGATTCCTGATAATCTGCGCTCTCGTGGCTGTAGCCATCGCCAACCCTGTCCAGATTCAGCCAGACAATGGTGTCGTTGTCGTCGGAAACGAAGATTCCTATGAACCAATCAGCGTTGACCCAGTAATCATTGATGAGGGTCTCATCCAACCACCAATGCCAATCGTTCAAATCATCATAAAGGTCAATTCCAAAAGTCAAATTGTTGATGTAGCCATTCCTACACCAGTTATAGTTGCTGATCAAGAAGAAGCTAACCCCGACTCAGTTATACTGCCCCAACCCGTCCTACCAGTTCCTGTGCCCGAACCAGGAATCATTGGCGAACCAGTCTTGCCTCCCCAAATCATACCTGTTGTCCCAGCCCCTGATATAGAATACTAAAGTGTTGGAAGAAATTATTTATTTATTTAAATAAATAAATATGTGATACAGTTATGTTATGTGTCTTTTAATTACGTAAAATATTACAATATTTCGTAAATACTTATCTATATATTATAATAAAGATGTAGAGGTCGAATGTGTGTACATAGAAAAAAAAAATGCTGAAAACCGAGTCGGGGGATGTAAGAAGACAAATAAAACAAATCCTGATTTTTTCAATTATTTTGTTTCTCTGTCTGTTTGTCTGTTTGTACGGGCTAATCTCCGAATCTATTAGACTCATTTAAATTAAATTTTGCATGGTGGTACCTTATATCTCCGGTCAACATCTAAGATAGTTTTCATTCCGGAAAATAAGAGAATTCCCGTGGGATAGTTAAAAAACTATAGTAACTTATACAGCTTAGTACACAACAACTTATGCACCTAATTTAGTAAAATTTGGCATGCTGCAACTTATATTGCCGGTCAAACAACAGGTTACTTTTCACCCCAGAAAAATGAACGGTTTCCGTGGGATAGATACGTTTGTGTTTTTCTAGAGGCGAACCCGAGCGAAGCGAGGGTGAGCCGCTAGTTGATAAATTAAATTAAAGTGTCTATCGAGTACTTTGTCGTAATTGTCGTGTTTTTTTTTAAATACTAGATGTTTTAGGGTTTTAAAATAATATTATCGCCAAGTCGAGCTCTAATTTTCTCTAAGCATAATGATTATTAAATAGTCAAAACAATAATCATGCCTTGTTAGTTATTTAAGAAACTACATATGTAACATATCAATAGGCCACAAATCATGAGTTCCGAGGCTCGAGGTCGAGTAAAGACAAAAAGTAGATAGTTGTTAATTAGTAGTACCTAAGTCTAATTATCAACATTTTTTTCTTCGACAACGAATTCCTTCTTCTAAACATGGATATCACGAATTAAAAATTTTCTTTACAGCATAAAGGCATTTTTCTTGTATTAATTAAAATAAATGTGTTTATAAACAAACATTGGTTCGTTCATTTCATTTTGAGGGAAACATATACGAATAGAATTTACTTACCTATATAAAATATCTGTTTCCCAAATTTTTTATTGATAACACTTTAGTGTCAACCAAATTTCTTTTTTAATTTAGTAGCTATTGTCGAGCTAAAGCTGATAAATCAGAGGAGAAAAAGGTTTTGTCTTTGCCCATTTATGTATAGATTTTTAAAATCTGCCATGTGTTTTTAAGTGGCCGACATAATACAACAACTGATAATACTTAAATTAATCTTTTAATCGCATGTTAATATTACTTACTCAAATTTTATCATGTTTATTTAACGTCTACTTGATAAAAACATTTACCACTAGCTACCATCTGTAGCTTAACCTGTCTAGATTGTATTTTTAATTCGTGCTAATATTTAGAATAATGTATTTTATAAATAAACTAGCGACTCACCCACGCTTCTCTCGTCTCTTACGTTACGTTATCACGTTTAGTATAGATTTCTCGGAAATGTGATATTTTCCCGCAGTAAAAAATATCCTATATGTAGAGCCGGATAACCTAGCTAAGCTATCATTATACCAAATCTCATCAAAATCTATCTAGTGGTTTTCTCGTGATACGTTCCCAGGCAGACAGAGAAAAATTCTAAAAACTATAGAATAGACCTCTGTATCGATAATTAATGACTATTTCAGTAAGATTTTCCAAAAAATATTTAATGTACAGATTCGACTGAGAGTTTTATTATATGTACCTATATATGAATTTTACATTAAATAGGTACGTATTATTTAGTGTATCTTCTTGCAATCAGTCAATAAAAATCAGGGTAAATGCTCTATATAACCCAAATTCGAAATTTATTATTATGAACTAGCATTGCCCGCGGCTCAGCAGATGACAAAAAACCAAATTCTTAGGTTTTACATATAAGTATACTCTTACATTGCAGTTTTTTTCATTTTTTTCAGAAATGAGATATTTTACATAAAAATATGTAATCCGCCTTTTTTTGGCGGCAGCCATCTTGGACCAATTTTCATCAAACATAGCTAAAGACACTTCCGACTAATTCACTTTTTAAACAAAAAAAAAAACAAAATCAAAACGGGTCATCCGTTCGGGAGATACGATGCCACAGACAGGCACACACAGACACGTCAAACTTATAACACACCGTTATTTTTGCATCGGAGATTAATAACAGTAGCGTGATCAAAAATTTGCTTCTAAACTTCAATGAACAGAAAGCAAAATGAATATGAAAGCAAATTCCGAGTCATCAAACAACAAAGTCGTCAAACCTTTGAACGGAAGCTCAACATTAAACACACAAGTGTACGGAACCATTAAAACGATCTTTCATTTCCGATGCACGCACGGCTGACGATTCGTAGTAATTGCCACTGCGTTCTGGGGAAATGCAACAGCTCTATGAACTTGTACGCTCACTAAAAGGCTTATTATAGACTGGCTTCTCTCTGATTTTTGTAATAATTGTGTCATTTGTACATAGTCGTAGTTTAAAATGGCAACATTTTAAATTAGATTTGACAATACAGGGGACTGTACTCTCTGAGCAATGTTTTCAAGTAGTACCAAAAAAGCTATGTCAGAAAATGTTGGTACCATGTAGTGAAATAACGGACTCAGTAGGCAGACGTTATCCTGACACAGACATCGTTTGGTCGGGAAATAGAAGTTCTGGACTTCGACAACAGCTCTAGCTACCTTTTAAATCCAATTCTAGGTGTTGACTATTCAGGTGAAAAAGTATATCAAAATCGGTCCGGCCGTTTAAGAAAATAATTATAAATCACAATGAGAAGAGAAGGAAAAAATTTAAAGAGAAAAGAAACATACCGGAATTTTACATATAAAAGTAAGGTTATATTCATAACTAGCGGCTCACCCTCGCTTAACTCGGGTTCGCCCCTAGACAAACAAGAACAAATCTATCCCACGGGAACCGTTCATTTTTCCGGGATAGAAAGTAGCCTATTTGTTATTCTGATATATGAACTATATTATTGTAAAGTTTCATTAAAATCCAATTAGTAGTTTTTGTGTATTACGCTGTATAATTTACTATAGTTTTTTAAGTATCCCACGGGAACTCTTTAATTTTCCGCGATGATAAGTATCTAAAATGTTGACCGGGGAAATAAGGTACCACCATGCAAAATTTCATTTAAATCAGTTTAACAGTTTCGGAGATTAGCCCGTACAAACAGACAAACAGAAAAACAGACAAACAGAGAAAGAAAAAAATTGAATAAAATCTGGATTTGTTTTATTTCTCTTCTTACATCCCCCTGAGTCGGTTTTTAGCATTTTTTTTTCTATGTACAGACATTCGACCTCTACAGTTTTATTATAGATATAGATTAAATTGATTTTATATAATATTATGTAGTCTAATTTTATTTAACTGACTTCAAAAAGGAGAATGTTTCCAATTCGAATGTATAACATTAAAAGAATAACTTAATATTAATAATAAACGATTTTTTTACAATAATATTAAAATAAATATTTTTATCTATATCAATAGAGTATTATATGTACATATGTATGTGTGTTCGAGTCATGTTTTCTATACATATTTAATTTACAAATGGTCTACGCGTAATGAATGCGTTGCAAATATTTATCATCAGTTTGCTAATATTAAAATTGCTAAAACTAAAAAAAACTTGACAAATAAACACGAATTTACAATATTTTAGAAATCGAGACAGACAGTGAGTGTCAATCTGGTGGATTAATTTTTTATATCCGACAATACGTTTGAATGTCATAAAATCGAACATAAAACCATTATTTTTTAATGTTATAGTTTTTAGACAGTAAAAATCTTTTTAATATGAATTGACAGCGTTAACAACTTTTTTTCTTTCTTTAGTACTTAGAGTTGCGGTTAAATACTTGTATTATGCCTTATATTTCATAGATTCGATGCTTACTTTAGCTTTTTTATCTGCTACTAGTCTTCGGCCTCGTTCGTAGAGTCCTTTGGGGTCCGGGATCAAAGGTAACCTATATCCGTCTCCAGGATGTAATCTAAATCCTTGCTAATAAATAAATAAATTCTGTTCGTCTGGTTATGGTTTAAATGTGAAAAGGTACCAGTCAGAGTTACTTTCAAATTTGTAATATTAATATGTATACAGATATGTATTTGTCTTGATTGTGTTATTAACACTACAAACTGAGCCAAACGTGTCGTCAAATGAAAAATAAAAATGAACAATGTGTTAAAAATTGCGAAATAAAACCAAATGGCCCTTAAAGTAATTAAAGCAAATTATTTAAAGCCTAAAAAACATTCGCAATGAAATTGTATTTTGTTTCAAAATATTTGTTACATAATAATTAAAGTGAAACATTAAGAACAGGCGGATATTAATTACATTGTTTTATAATTACTCGTAACAAACTCTCCGCGAACTTCACGTACCTTAATATAGCTGTAAAAGTTGACCAAAATCACATAAACATCTATGTTCGGCCATAGTGATTATTGATAGGAAATCATATGTCTATATTATATACTAGCGACTCACCCTCGTTTCGCTTGGGTTCTTTTCTAGCTTGATTCCCAATACAAGCATTCATCTCTATTTACACCCTCTTAAGGCATGATTTCCGGGATAAAAAGTATCCTATGTCCTACCCAGAGTCTCAAACATCTTCTTACCAAATTTCATCTAAATCGGTTCAGTAGATCCAGAGATTACTCCCTACAACGTCACAAACTCACAATCTCACAAACTTCACCTCTTTATAATATTAGTATAGAAGAATAGAATTTAGCTGTCAAAAATAAAAATAGGTGAAACTGGAGACAATTTTCTGTAAAACTTTTCTTGATAATACTTAAGCTCGTATATAACTACTAAACAAAAACAAACGTGTTTGTGTACTTATGTGCGCACGTAACAAGTTACAGTTCTTTGGCGTAACAGAATAAAAAAGTGAAATATGAATTGCGAAATTCTCAAAGTAA